AGCCTAACCTTAGAGGATAATAGAAGATAATAACAGCATTAAATAGATTTAAATAATAACAATTATTAACCTTATAGGAGTAGCTATAGTTTACTATAGATGCGGCGCTTAACTTTAACCTAGTAATAAGCTATATATTATTAATAAACGCAGATAGTCTAAGACTAACTACCTATAGTTAAGTAAGATAATAGGTCCACATCTAGCTTTATAGTACTAGGCTCTTTATACTAACACTATTGCTACATAATATACTAGTATTTATTAGGTAAGTATATTATCTATATATTACGCTAGACTATTATTAGATATACTAACTTACACTAATTACTACGCAGTTATACCACTTGTATACCTATTTAATTTACATTATACTGCAGTTTTCTAAAAATAAGTAAGGTACGCAGTGGACAGCCTTATAATTACGCGGGTATAGGCTGATTATTACGCGGGTATAGGCTAATAATCAGGCGGTTTTAGGCCTATTAATTAGGCGGGTATAGGCTGTTAATTAGGCAGGTTAGGCCTAGGGACAGGACAGGCAACGACGTACTAGTAGTTTATATAAGGATACTAAAAAAAATCTAATACTATTATTACTATACCTAACACTTATATTTTGTCTTTTATAAACCACTTTATATACTCTACTAATAGGTCTATTATAAACCACCTTATTTACTCTACTAATAGGTCTATAGTAAACCACACTATGTTCATACTACAAAAAAGTAAACCACTACTTTAAACCTATTTACGGGTATACACGAGGTCAGTTTACACCTATATAGTAAACCCCTAGCGTACCATTCTATAGTAAACAATTTTTTACCGTAGTGGTATATATAGGTAAGCTCTTAATTTTAATACTATTATTAGCTACCTAGATCTAAAAATAAGATTTGCTACGCTAAGGGAGCGTTGCAACGTTGTTGTCTTATATAATCTTAACTATACTAAGCTTATATTAGTTAAGTATTAAGCTCTTAAAATTTTTGAACACCTATATAATCTTATTAAGGTTTTTAGCTTGCAGTAGATAGGTATAAAGCTTTCCTAAGTAGTCGCACTTTAATACTAAGATCTATTACTTGTAAGCTATACCTATTAGTATGTTAAATAGATCCTATAATACCTAGTAGTATAGATGTAGTAATCTTTCCCTTAGTTATCTTAATATAACCTATTAGGCATGTGTAATAGCGTAGTGCTCGCATTTGCTCCTAGGAGTTCCTTTAATCCTAACGTTTATTACTAGCTTAACTAGAGCTTTAAGCGCCTTAGGTCCTAAATAGCCTAATTATTAGTGCTAAAGCTCCTCACTATCGTGTCTTAGGTAAGTTATCTAGGATTATTAGGGTTATTTAGGCACTATACTTTAGATTATTTAATAAGGGGTAGAAGGCTTATATTCTAGGAAAGTTAAGTTAAACTTACGTAGTAACTTAGCTAATATAACGCTCTTTCCTAATAATCTAAACTACAAGGTAGCATCTAGCCTAAGGAACTAAACTCCTGCTTTAAGCAATTAAGCTTCTAATATAATATTTATATAAAAACCTTCTACTAACACTACGTTAGTAAGCACTAAATCTTCTATTTTTAGACCTCTTAGTCTATTAAGAGTATTAAGGATTACTCTAGTCCCTCTGCCTAAGATTAGAAAAGCTTATGTTCCTGCTTTAACTATCTTATATTTAACTAATCTAAACAAGCTTTCTTCTAGGTAGCTTATATTATTAACTAGGTATACTACACCCCTGTTATTAAAGATAGTGCTCTTTAATAGAGCGTAAGCTTTAAAGTCTATAGTTAAATAGATCTTATTTATTTTCTCTGCTATTAATATAGGGTTAATTAGTGCCGCCTAGATACTACCTAGATAGGTAATTACGCTTACCTTACTACTATAATCTTAATTAATAGGATAGGACTTAATTAGAGCTTTTCTTAACTCTTTAAATTTTTAATTCCTATTAATCTTTTTCTTAATCTCTAATTATTAAGTAGTAGTAAGCTTGTTACCTATATTAGTCTAAGCTTTAATAATATTTTTGTATTTAGGAGGTTTCTATAGGTAGGATCTACTATATAGGTATAAAGATTCCTTCTTAGGTTAATTAGAAAGAGGAGCTCCTATTATTACAAACACTCTAGGACCTTTAGCGCTTAATCTTATATTGTTCTCTTAGAGAAGTAATAAATAGATCTTAGCAACCTATAGGAGGTTATAAGTTAGCTCTCCTATTACTAACTTTTTAATAATCCTTTAAAACATAGTTTAGCCCTAATCTAGTAAGATCCTAGTAGATAGAGCTTTAAGGTAATCCTATACTATAAGCTATCCTTTAATATTAGGAACGTTATATACCTTAGCTTGCGTATATAGGATTATCTACTCCTTCTACTAGTAATTAGTGTCTTAGCTACTTATCTTTGCCTTAGCAAGATAAGCTTTATACTATAATCTTGCTAGTATTGCAGCACTTAAATTAGTTAGCGCTAGGTTATTGTAGAGCACTTAGATAAGTGCTTAGAGGGTTACTCTTCCTTAATTAACAAGCTCTATATAGGCTAGGGTAAGGATCCCTTAATCTACTATATTATTAACCTATATAAAGAGGTTCTAGATTACTAATAACTTTAATACCTAATCTAATAAGCAGGCTTAGTACTAGGCTATTTTAAGTTTATACTACTTACTTATTATATTAGATAGCGTAATATCTATTAGTATGTTAGGCTTAATAGGTTTATTCTTAAAGTGGTTTTTAGTATCCTAAGCCTTAGGGTCTACCTCTACCTAGATCCCTTTAGTTAGGGCATAGTATCTAAATTAAATGTACTAGGTAGGCTAGTTAGTTAATCTAGTAAGTAGGATATCCCCCTTTAGGATTTAGTTACTTATAGTAGAAGAGTAATAAGTAAGCTTCTACTTAAGAAATAGTATAAAGAAAGAGTAAAGCTTGCTAGCTTAGTGTCTAAGTTAAATAATACGCTTAAATAGATAGGACAATCTTTAATAAGGTAAAGCGCAAACTAGGCTTATAACTATAGAAATTTAGATTACTAAGGTTAGGAATAATTTAGGAGATAGATTATTAGATTATATCTACTACGATTATACTTATATATATAGAGCTTTAGCTACCCTTACTAGAAGGTAAATAATTAGTAAACCTTCCTTACTAGAGCTCCTGCTTTTTATTAGGCACTTAGTAGTAAGCTGGCAGTTAATTAGATAGTGGGTTATACAGGGGTATTGATCAGGGTTAATTAGATTAAGATGCTCCGTAATCTAGTTAATATCCCTCCTGCAACAACTATTTATTATAGATATTAATTATAGTATTATAGAGTAACTACTCTATCTTTCTCTAATTACTTGCACTTAATATTAAGGTTATACTATTACTTAAAGAAGGCTAGTTACTATTATTTATAGGTGCTTTAAACCTTAAAAGGATAATATTAGGGTTAAGTAGTAAGATACCTATTACTTTAAAAGCTATTAATATTAGCTTTTCCTTAAAGGTATTGCTCTATGCAGTATTAAATAACTAGTAGAAATCCCTCTTAGTAATGCTTGTAAGCCCTTAGGAGCTATCTAGAAAACTAGATAGTTAAGCTTTATATAAAGCTGTAAAGGGAGCAAATACTATAATATTAAGCGGCTAAAGGGTATAAGTGCTATAAGGGGGATATATTATAAGTAGGATCTTATGTTTATTATAGTACTTAATAAACTCTATTATTATATAAGATCTATAGCTATTAAGGATAAGGAGCTAGTATAAAGTATAAGCTTTAGCTTTTATCTTGTAATTAAATACCTCCTTAAGCTAGGATACCCCTAGGGTGTGGCTTGTCTACCTACTTAGTAATCCTGTAAAGAAAGCTTAGTATTATAATAGGTTAAAATCTTATAACTAGGTATCTTATAGAGCTCTAGATTAGGACTAATAAATAAGGGTAGAGGTAAGAGTAGTACTATTAGCGTATATATAAGCTATAGTAGTAATCTACTCCCTATTACTATCCTAGAGTATAGCTCTAATCTTTCTCTACTTATAGGCGCTCTTATTAAATGTATATTTAGTTTTTAATAGTACTCTAATAAGAAAACCTTTCTTATCTATATTATAGATATACTAACTCTTAATATTATATTACTCTATTTTTTAGTGTAAAAGCTTAAAGTATAAGCTATACTTAAAGGTAGAATTAGCTTTAAAGTAGTTATAATTAAGCCTAGTAGCCTAATAGGAGATAAGATTAATATTATAGTAGTTAATAAAGCGCTACACCTAATTTTTACCTACTAGATTCCCTATTATTTTAGTTATAAAATTTTAAATAATAGTCTATATAAGGGGTAATCCTTACCTATAAAGCTCTTTAATATACTTTATAAGCTTGCTTTCTTATATAGTATTAAGTATTTAACTATTTAGTAGAGTAGTAGTATATACCTACTAAATTTTCTAGTAGTATCTAGATAAGGTTAACTATAAGTAACTATACTTTTCTACTATTTCTAAGTATATAAAATCTTCTCTAAAAGTTAAGGATTTAATTGCTATAAGCGCGTTATTAATAGGTGCTATAGTTGTTAAGAAATTTAGTATTAAAAATTTGGTGATTTTGGTGTTAGTGGGCGCTCGGTGGGGGTGGGCGCTCGGTGGTGGATCACGTTAAGATAAGATACCGTAAGCCCCAAAAACGATCTTCCCATGAAAAATCGCGGGGATCGCAATCGCACAAAACTACCCAAAACACAGAACAAACCGGGGTGCCCGAATTGACATAAGGCGTAGATAAACGAGCAAACTAAACCAACTCAAACTTAGTACCATACCGGTACGCCTCTAACATCAACATCATCTCATCAACATCATCAATCACCCAGCTCACCTCCAACAACTCCACAGCCCCAAACACAGTGTACACAACACACCCAACCCCCCCCCCCCCCCCCACTGTAAAAACAAGTTTCAAAAATGTTCCCCCTCTCCCCACTCACACTCGTACTCCTCGCACAAACGTTCCTGGTCTTACATTGGCTGACCACATATCTGCGCAACCCGTTGCGTAAGATTCCCGCCGCGCATCCTCTGGCGCCGTTTACTTCGGCCTGGATTTATTATATCCGCCATCTGGGTATCGAGAATGCAACGCTCAAGGCAGCGCATGATCGCCTTGGACCTGTTGTTTGTCTGGGGCCGCGCGAGATCAGTGTGAATTGCGTCAAGGGCGGGGTGCGGGATGTGTATGCTGGGGGGTTTGAAAAGGGGGATGGGAGGTATAATTGGTATGGATTTTTTAGGAATTATGGGTGAGTGGAATGTTTTACTTGCGGGCGAGTTTTTGCACTGGAGGAGGTGGGAAGGGTGGGTGGGTGGGTGGCATGGTTGAGTCAAGTGTTGATTGATGCGTGATAGAGTTGACAACATGTTCTCCACGGAGAGGAATAAGCCGCATTCGCAGCGCAAAAGGATGTTGAGCAATATTTACAGCAAATCCTTTGTTACCACGAATGAAGCCCTCTTGGCCCAGATGAGCGCCATCCTCTACAAAAGATTTCTGCCCCGTCTCGAAGCTACGTTGGCGAATGACGAAGAAGGAGGGGTGCTCAACATCTACGCCCTGCTCAGCGGAACGACCATGGATATCGTGACGGCCTACATCTTCGGTTTACGCGCTAGCTCGAATCTGCTGGAGAATGCGGAGCAACGGGCCTGGTTTCTCGACTTGTATAATTCACGGCGCTCGTTCAACTTTTGGCCTCAGGAGTTTCCCAATTTCACGGCGTTTGTGGCCATGTGGTTTGGCTACCGGTTGGCGCCCAAGTGGGTTGATGAAGCAAATGGCGAAATCGAGAAGTGGACAGCTAGAATGTGCGATGATGCGAGTGAGACGGTGGCGAATGGGGCGACAAAGCCAGAAGATCTACCAGTCGTGTATCAGCAACTTTCAAAGACTCTGTTCAAGGACGTTGAGAAAGGGCGAATGTCGTCCAAGGAGATAATAGCCAGTGAAGTGCTCGATCAACTCGCTGCAGGCTTCGACACCTCCGGCATCACACTGGTATATGTAGTCCACGAGCTATCACAGCACAAAGACATCCAAACCCGACTACGAGCCGAGCTCCTCACTCTCTCACCACAGCTTGTTCCATCCTCATCGCCGGCACTGCCAGATCCCAAAGCCGTAGACGCCCTCCCCTATCTCCACGCCGTCGTCTGGGAAACACTGCGCCTGCACTCTGCAATCCCCGGCCCACAACCGCGCGTCACTCCGCCTCAAGGCTGCACACTGGGGCCAGAAGATGCCACGTATTTTGTTCCCGGGGGTGTACGTGTCAGCGCAAGTGCGGGGCTCTTGCACCAGAATGAAGATGTGTACGAGTGTGCGAGCGATTGGCGGCCGGAACGGTGGTTGCATCTCGATACGCTAGATGCGGAGAAGAGAAAGGATATGGAGAGCCGGTGGTTTTGGGCCTTTGGAAGGTTAGTCCACGTTGAGTTTCTGATGCTTGGATAGAGTAACTAACATTGTGGCAGTGGTGGCCGCATGTGCGTAGGGAGTCATTTAGCGGTATATCGTAAGTTTCCAGATTTCGACGTCTCGTTCTTGAGTTTTGGATGGGGGCTATGCGTTTGCAGTAGCAGATGGGGTCCTGCAACGAGTTTGTTGTAGTTGTGCATTGTTGACGCAACTTGTTCGGTCACTGCGAAACACCGGCGCAAGTCGGCAATGTGAAGCTGGCCTCGAGTCACGAAAAGCGTCTGTGGGGTGTGAATGAAGGCTAACTGTCATTAGAAATGAAGTACATCGTCGCTGCCCTGTACTCCAACTACAGCACGGGTATCGTGGACGATACTGGCATCGAACAGTCAGACGCATACACTGCGCCACCAAGGGGCGAGAAGCTCATCATTCGGCTAGAGAAGGTCGCAAAATAGTTGAATATTTAAACGTGGCATTGAGACAGTACTATCAGTTCCGTAGCGATGTAATTGCTGCCGAGATGTGAATGTCTGGTACTGGTGCCCCGCAAGCACGTGAAGTTTTCCAAAGATTGGTACCGGCAGCCTAATCCTGCCCACGAAATATTGGGGCAAAGCCTCCATGCACCGGGCCATACCGAGCCAGACTTGTGTGCTGAAAAGCCCGCGCCTCAGCACCGGCGTGATGATGGGGAGCTGCACACGGTACCTAAGCGCAGAAACGACAAAGCAGGAAGCGATCAGGCGACCTTGCTCCTTGATACTGGGATTCTCGGAGCAAAGTCCGTGTGGGTATAAACAACGGTTGGATCGATTCCTTAGATGTGCTGATGCGATCCGTGTTCAAAGTGAGGCATTTGAGGATCCTACCTTTCAAAAAATATAGTCTAGATCCTGCTGAAGTCGAGATAGGCCACTATCAAGCCAAGACAAGAGTTTTGCGGCACTCTGCCAGTGAACAATGCATCGATTAGGCAATCTCCACTGTGATCATGCGGTCTTCCTCCATTGAAGGCTAGCGGTGATCTGATGGGCCAGGTAGCAAGGCTGTCCCAGAAACCAACGTTCACGTACATGAGCATACTGGACCCATCTCTCAGGTACCTGCAGCTATCTGGGATCCGACCGAAGTCGGACGTTGAGTTGCTGTGACGATATGCAGCGATCGTTACGCAGAATGTGGGGGGCGTGGGCCTGCGGTAGCGAAACGGTACACACCGACGCTTACCGCGAGCTTTGTGCACCTCGAAACCTGGTTCCAACGTCAAGAGCGGGTTACGTGGAACGGTTGCAGACTGATCTGTCACTCAGTCCAAAGGCAGGCGACGCTTCACCGCTGACAAGTTATCGTCGGTGAAGTGCCGTGATGTCTGTTCAACATGGTTGCTACGGCTAGCGACGGATGATGGGGATGCGATTGATGGCAGAAGTGACTTGCTTCGTGACAATACTCGGCAGTTTGAATTGTTTTCAGTTTAATTTTCGGTTTCAGAGTGCGGCAGTTGGGAAAATCGAAGTTTTTTACCTGCCTAGAGTTGTCACTCGCTGATAGCACTCGTCAGATAATGTCTAGGCTCGGTCCATCCAATTGCCTATGGAAGCATAGGTACTAAATCCGGATGATCATGTTGTTCCTATAGTGAGGCGAACTGCACAACCGTATAATTCCTGGATCGATGCTCGTCAGATTTGTATGCGCCAGGAGGGTACCGAGTCATAGAGAGGGCATCTAAGCTATATTGCAATGCGATGTCATGATCTCGAAAAATGGCAGTTGGGGCACTGTAAATCTTGATGTCCAACCGAACAATCAAGGCGCATTTTGCATGTGAGAGCCAGCCAAATGCAGATACCAGAAAGCTGAAGGGAGGCCCAAGATAGTCTTCCTTTTAGGTTAGCTAGTTCAGCAAATAAGAGGTGTGCTGAAGAGTAATCGACTTGGAGAGTGGTCGATGTCGAGAACAGGATGTAGGTGTGAACCAATCCTATGATAGGCGCCGCTCATCTCTGATTTCTGGCGCTCAGAACTATACGGCTAGCTTGGACCGGGGCATCACTTCCTCGGCGTTCTCTTTGGTCGGCTCGGTGAGATGTCGGTATGAATACCAAGCTGGTGGTTCTCATGCTGTCCAAACGGAGAACCGCGAGGTCAAGCAAAAAGTCCCCCATTTAGCTTCGGAGCTTAGGGCCCCACCATGGCTGCTCATCGAGTACCTAGACCGTAAGCTGAGTCGCTCATGGACACGTGCAAATTTGATAACCAAGCGAGTTCATTAATTAATGAATAAATGGGAAAGTACTCCATGTCATGTTGGCTCATGGGAGCGCGCCAATGGCGGTGCAAGCACTACTTCCTGCAGGAACGGCGGCTCGTTGAAAGTCTCGAATCTGACAGGAACGGCAGAAGAGGGGAATTTGGGAGTTAAGGTGAAACCGAACGAGGCAGCAGCAGCAGATCGGCGTGAGGTGATGAGGCTGCAACGATCATGTCCAGGGCCCCTGGTGGAAAGCTGACCTGGTTGAGAGTCTACTAATGGCGGGGGGGGGGGGGTTGGTATAGCGACCGTGTCAAAAAGCAAAAAGCAGGATGCCCAGACAGGGCAGAAACAGCGCCCGGAGCCGGCTGTCTGCTCCATCACGGCAGTACGGAGTCTGCTGGTGGCTAAACAGAAAGGGTGAATGGGTGGATGGGTGAAAACACGGGGATGCGGATGGTGGTGTAACATCCTAAAATTTCATTCATCGTGCAATCCGGAACAGATGGCGGCCCGAGCTCGACACATCGAACCGTGATCCCTGCAGAAATCCTCCCCGCCACCCCCCGATTCCACGGCGATCATCCTTCCTCTCCCCTCTCCCCTCTCCCCAACCCCACTTGTATCCTAACTGTTGCCAGACGACATCATCCGTGTTTGTCCACACAGGGCCCCCAACCCCCCCCCCCTCCCCTCCGTTTTCGGCTCTACTTGCTGTTGTGCAGTGTCGGTCTATTCATTTGTCGGCCTTTTATCTCTCTGCAGGCTGGTGTGCCGGTACTACCATACAGTCTACGTCCATGACACTCTATGCCTCATCTATGCTCTATGCTCTATGGTGGCATACCGGTATGCCATGCTCATTACTGTGCCCCCACTACTTTCCAGCATGGGCAAAGACATTGAAGCTACATGGCCTGGATCAGCAGCCAGCAAAGCCTATCGATGACATGTGGTTAGAGGACAGCGTGACGTGCGTATACATACCCTAAGATGGTACATGTCTACATGGTACATGCCCACCATCTTCTTGGCCCTTTTGTCAATCTTCCACGGCGTCGATCCTCAAGACTCCCTCTCTTGGGACGCCTCCAGGCGGGAGCGGAATCTTGCGTGGGCCGCCATGTGCATGGATGTGTTCCCGTACCACATAGCTCCGCTGCGAGTGGCTGGTCTGCGTTCGTATCGACAGGCTCAGGTCCTGTCAGCTTCTTCTCGTCCACATTACGGATCAGAGGAGCGGCCGTTTTGGTGAGCAGACTGGCAGAAACGGAGCTCCTGGATTGTTGGGCGCCAACAGAGAGTTATATACAGCCCTATCCAGTAGAGTAGTTTCAAAAGGCTAAAGTGGGACCATCGTCTGGGTGTTTGCGGCATGGGTTTGGCTGCCAGGTGCCCTGTGAGAAGCCCTGGCCGCTGCATCTACCACACTCCAACCTGGAAAGGCCGTTGGATCGAGGCACAACGGTAGCCGTTGCAACCCATGTCCTGCTGCCGTATCGTCTGTGCAGTGCAGATGCCAGTCGATTGGCTGCCTGGGGCAAACCTTTGCTCTGGCAGAATGTAACGAGTGGGCTGCTGCTGCTGCTTCCACCTCCTCGAATCAAGCCTTTGCTAGAGCAAAGCAGCACTCTCTTGCGAATTCCTTGCCCTCGAAGCTCTTCGTCGCACATTGGAAGGGTCCTTGTGGGATGTACCCTCCCCCCCAGCATCTCCATTACATCATCAACCCTCAGTTGACTCGCGCCTGCTGGACGTCCCGTATCATCACAAAGTACAATCACTTGGGCGGCGTCATACTAGTCTGTCGTTTTTCACCTCGAACCCCTCCTTCGAGCCCTCCTCAGTTGGCCTGGCAAAGAGTAGTTACTTGCAGAGCCAGTATAGTTCGTCAAGTTCGACAACGACAAGAGAGGCCAGAGTACGCCAGTGCCGACCAGACGACTACTGCGAATCTGCTAGCAATCAGTCTGGGAACTGCGTCGCATGGCATTGAAATTTGCTGACTCTTGCGCCGGTCCATCGAAGCTGCTGACGGACGATTCTGCTAGTCACAGGTCAAGGTGGTCTAGGATAGCTGGAGTACCATCACTCGTCCCAGTCCAGACCAGGCGCCAAGTAACAATCACGGCATCGACTAGCGTCCTCTGGCGCAGTCCGAGAGAACGACGACGGAGACGCTGACTTAGCACCCTTATACCGGTACGACATGCATCGCTTTCCCATCTTTTCAGACATCGACTTTTGAGGAAAGAGCCGTTGATCGCGAAAGCTACACCTTCTCCAGTTATTTCTTCGGCTTGCACGAGTTGGACTTGACCACCTTCACAAACGCAACAGAAATTCTTCGGCCAGGCTACTCCTCAGGAGCGTTAGTGCCGCTTCCCCCCCGACGGGCTTCTTTGTCCGCATAGTTTGCCTCGGGCATCGACCACGACCACGGTACTGTACCGCAGCGTTAGTACCATTTGGTACCATTGCCGACAACATCACACAGTGCTCATCTCTACCACGGGGAAACATGTCTCATTGAAAGTCGAGAAACGCACAACTGGCCCCGTACACCGGTAGAGATATCCAGGAAGTGTCAATGGGGAAGTTCGATTCGCACGCATCATTGGTCACTTTGCCTTCTTCGTGCCAGATCTCCCTCCAAAGTACTGGGAAAAGAGTACCAAGGAAGCGGCACCCCATCCAAGCCTGTACCAAACAGTTCACACAATATATTCACAACTTAGCCAGTGGGGATCCCGTGCGGGATCTTAGTGTCCGCACACTGGTACCAGTCCTCAGCCAACACTGCTCCGTCTCAGCTGCGCAGGAGGCCTGCTCTCGACAACGAAGCCAGAAGTAATTTGCTTTCTTTCCGCCTGTCTCCGGACCAAATCTCTTACATCTTTTTAAGAGACAATACATCTGGATTACAGCCCCCTGAAGACAACGCGGCCGCTGGTTCAGCCCTCTCTCTGAGGTCTTTCTGGCGACAAGTACCAAGGTGACGACCTCACGGTGGCAAGCTGGCTATCGATCGATCTATCAAGTCTTGAGGCGATCCAGAGGCAGCGTACCACACTTCGGAAACGTTTGACGTACGCACCGTCTCTATTCTTCATCTACCCTCCTGCTTGGTGCTTCAACTGCTGGTCAACCACAGACATTCTGACATCTCTCCAGCTTCTTAGGTTCCACCGTCAGTAGCAATACTCCCTGCTCTAGGCGTACAGCTACGCGTTCTACTACCCTTTGGAGGACGGGTACCTGCAGGTAGGACCCTGACACTTCATCATTGTACATCTAGAGATACTCACCACTGAAAGCAACAGTTGTGATACAAGAAGACTATCCCTACCTCCATCATGGACTATAACTATGACCCGAGTCCTCGAGACCCGCGATATCTTCCTACCGTTCGGCAACAAAACCTCTACGCCTCCGGATCTAATAGCACAGGGTACATGTCTACCACGTCCACCAGTCCGGGATTCTATTCACAAACTTCCAGCGGCCCTGGCCAGATAGAAGCCACAGCTGCAAGCCCTGGATTCTATAACTCAGTCTCCAGCGGTTCTACCAACATTGTTAATACAGTAGACACTCCTGGCTACTATCAGCCATCCTCCAGCGGCTCCGCTCACATGACGCCTTCTCTTACGAGTCCGTTCTATCCATCAACCTCCAACGGCCCCAGCCACATTTCTAATACAGCTGCCACTGCTGGCTCCTATCCACCATCCTCCAACGGCTCCGGCCAAATAACTTCCCCTGCTACGAGCCCCGGTTTCTACACACCATCATCCAGTGGCTCTGCGTATATATCGAATTCTTCCCTGGGCCAAGGCTTCTATTCGGGACCCTCCAGTGGCTCAGCATACATGGCTACTTCTGGTCCTAGCTACCCGTCGATGCCTCCAGCACTCCCCTCCTACAACTCGAGCCCTAGTTATTCCAACGTGGCTTCATCCTGCTACAATCTTCCGTTCTCTGGCCGCCGCGACAGCGCCAATTTGATTCCAGAGGTCTGCGAACTGATTGTTGAGCAGCAGCCCCAGGAGGCTCTTCTCACAACCAAGGACAAGGAAAAGATGCGCAAGCCAATAGATGCTCCGCCCATACTTCAACTGACCATCAAACACGCCACTGCTCAACAGGAGCTGAACTTGCTGCAGAATCCATATTTGTTCGCATCAGTAACACTGATCAAGCCCGATAAAGACGAAGTCGTGGACAAGAGCGGCAAGGCCCTAATGGGCACACTGGTCTCGTCCTGCCAACGGCTCAAAAACGTTAACAACGAAGACGGCGCATGGTTCGTCTTCGCAGACATCTCTGTCATGGTCTTGGGCACCTACAGACTTGGTTTCACGCTCCACGAATTCGACCCGGCCGAGAAGGCAACGCGCGTCCTCGCCGCAGCCTACAGCGCCAAATTCGACGTAGTGGCCGCAAAAGACTACAGAGGTCTACAAGAATCGACCATGTTGACCAGGACGTTTGCCGAGCAGGGTTGCAGGCTACGTCTGCGCAAGGAACCCAGAGGTGGCTCCATGGCTAGCAAGCGTCGTAGCTCCGGATCCCAGGGCCCAACCCCAAATGCGCCCATTCTCCCTGCGGGTGCAAACGCCCCGATCATGCCCACTGGTGACTACTCCCCCGCCAAACGCATGAAGCACGATCTTGGTGCGCCGCTGAGCGTCTCGTCACACCCAGCGTCGTATCAGCCTCCGCATCCTGGCGCGCCGCAGACGCCGAATAGGGTACTGTGGACAGGTGCTGGCGACCTGGATGGGTTCGGCACTATGCTTGGAAATTCGGGCTTGATGATGGGAAGGGGCATGGGAGATGCACCGTTCAATGAATGGTAGGGGGTGGTGGTAATGGCTTATGCTCACGGTTCATGTCTACATTCATGTTGGTTTTTTGCGTATGGGTCTTGATTTGGGAGTATGGGTGTGCCTGGTACCAATCAGTGTCAGAAGGCTGATGCCTACGTCTTGCGTGTTTTCACGCTTGAGGTGTTTGCTAAGAGCTCGACTGGAAATCCGGCGAGCGGCGTATCGGGGCATCTGGTCATTGGAGTTGAACTGTTTAACGCTGAGTGGAAACCCCTCACCTTATTATTTGCTTTTTGGTGGGAATAATCCTACCTTCGGGGGCAGCTGTACAGTAGATTCACGAGACGCCGTATCATTGCCCGACTTGTCTTTTTGTTTATTGTCTTAATTTTCGATTGCAATAGATACCAAGATACTACACATGTTCAATGCTCAGCTTGCCATGTATCTAGTCGATGATCACAGTGAGTAGTCCAGATTTAATAGAACAGGTGTGTGGACCTCGTAGGACATGGTACTAGATGATAAAACCCGTACACGTCTTGTAAGTATCTTCTGGATTATGAATTCATTCCAAGGGAATAGCTTTAAATCTATAAGAATAACTCCGTGAACAACTTGCAAAGCGGTCGACACTGTATTCCATCCTTGAGCACTGCCGTCAAGACCCCGAACACTCCTCCCTACAGCTACCACCAACCAGCCTGACAAGTCGGCGGCGCATGTAAGACTCATTGGTCATCTTGGGGAAAGTACGAGAGTGCAGGTGTTGACAAGCACAGTGATGGAATCATCGATTTCCAACGCTTTCAGCTCGGTGAGTACATGCGCACCGATTCAGGGGGCGCACATTGAGATGCACGCGCGTCATCTTGCATGTGTTTGAATTGGACTAGACTTTGTAGAAAAATCCTCCATAGGAACTTATAACGTAGACTATGGACTGATTGCTTATCTTCCCTGTGCAACGCACCGATTTCGCCATGTGTACACCGGGCAGAGCAGGAATGCTGACATCGCCTTTGTACGAACATGGACGGGCCAACTTCTACAACGCTGCTTCGGCGCCATGTCTCGGAGATAGATAGATGGGACACTCTACGTACCCACGTATGGCAGCTGAACGGAACCAATCACGCAAGTAGGGCAGGATCAACAAGGCACTGGGGATCAAAAAGGACCGGGGGTATCCAACCAACACTCCGGTACAACACACTGCTATCACAAGCTCCCCACACCGTCACAGGCCCGGAACTGCCCTTCCTACTGCAAACTCTAATCACCAAGCCTCACCGCATTGACATCAACACATTGTCTACCTACATGTCTACACACCCGCACACACTAGCCATTGCACACACACACACACCAACCCATTCAGTCAGACTAACATTACACCACATCCACACCCCCCTCCCCCCACTAACCACCCATACTTCCAAAAGTGGATCCCCACATCCCCACTCCATCTTCACAACAAAGAAAAACGCAAAAGCCCTCCCCCCCTAAGAAAAATCTCTTCACATGGCATGGGACAGGTCCCTATGATATGGCATGATCTGGGGTGGTATAGTATAGTACCTATGACACAACCCCCCCCCAAACCCGCACCCACAAACACACAGAATATTCACATGTCCGCATTAACCACCGAACACCTTCCTCGCGCTTGCATGGCTGGTCATCCGGCACCGGCGGCAACCCCGCTACGGTACCCAAGTTCCTTTGTACCTACATGGAATACGACACAACACGACACCACACGACACCACACGAGACGGGACACATGACGGCCGACTTACCGTAGACACATGCGTGTCGTGTGAAAGTTTGTGGGTCGGAAGGCGGGCCTCCCTTCCCTTGTGAGTAGGGCTTTGGGTTTACGCGGGCTGTGGGTGGCGCGGCGCGGGTTACCGTGATGGGTGGGAGCTGGAGCTGGAGCTGGAGCTGGAGCTGGAGCTGTAGTTAGATGTGATGTGTAGTAGGTAGACTGACGGAGAGTGGCGGGAGGGGGTTGGGGTTACTTTGTGTGGTGTTTTGGAGTTTTGATCGCGCGTGTGGTGTACTTCTGGGCTGTTTGATTGAGGTGGGGTGGATAGTATTTGCGAGGGGATATGTTGTGCTGGTTTTGCGAAGGCAAGGGGTGTGTGCCATGTGGAGATGAGGGTTTTTGCGTCTTGTGGATAGAGGAGTGACTTCTTGCTTCTGGGCTGAGGGATGAGCGGCAGTGGTATATCTACATCTACATCTCCTATCCACCTATACTCTACTCTATACCACAAGATACCTACACACATACCGTACTCCTGCCCAAATCCCTCTTCACACTAACACAATAACCACCCACACACCCACCACCCACCAAGCCCGCCGCGCGGGGCTCAAAGCGCAAAAAGCCCGAGCTACAGCTGCGCGCGGAAGCCTCGAATTTGCCTTTCGCTGGCGTGCTGTGTGGCGTTGGGTGGTTGGACAGTTAGCGTCTTGGGCTGGGCTAGAGTCGGAGGAAGCGAGGGGATGACGCGCATGAGGTTTTGGTCATGTGATTTAGTGCTTAGAGGGCTCGGCTGGATGGCGGGCGTTGGGGACTTGGCCGGGTGGGGAGGGCGAGGAGTGAGGATGGAAGGGGTGAGGATGGGGTTTTGGCGGTGGTGAGGGGATAGGGTGGGGGCGGGTTGAAGGCTGGAGGAGGGGTGAGGGTGGGTGTCATGGTTGGGGAGATGCATGTGGTTTTTGTGTATGAGGAAGCCATGTTGTTGAACGGTAACATTTGGAAAGAAGATATTCAGTACCGCATGCAGCGAGGATCTGGAGTGGATAGCCAGAAATAAATACTGCTCCTACAACGAGTCTGATTATAGCTCTGCTAGGCGTGGCCAGTACTACTATCTCGACAATTTCTCATTCCTCAAACCAAATAAGCTGACAGGCCAGAACTCTTCAATCTGCCAGTAGGCAAGTTTGCATCGCGAGTGCGTGTAGGCCATACAGATGTCGATGGTACCGTCAGCCCCTTAGGTATACTTCGCAGTCACAGATCCATAACGGACCCCGTTGACTAAGAAGGAGTACTCCAAAGCCGACTGAAGAGAAATCTCAACCTCAAATCCAATCTCCAAGAACATAGTACCCGAGGGGCTTGTGCGTGGGGTATAAGCATCTAAAGGCAAACCCTCAAGGTCGACATGTAGGATGACGACCTCGTACACATTCTGCAGAATATCAGCCTTGATGACACAGCGGTAGGTAAATGTTGCATGTTGAGACATACCCTGTCCCGTCGAGATGGCGCCTTATCAGCATCACAGACGACAAGCTCTATGTCTGCTTCCCTAGATTCATCTGGCCAGAACTGCTTGCACAGGAGCATTTGAGCATGTGAGTTCGCTTGCGTGGAGAGATCTTGACCCTTCTTGAGTAACCAGTTAATCTGATTATTCGCCATCTTTTCCCCGGTATATCGACAGATGTAGGAGTCGGCTTCCCTGTGTTTTCCAGCAACGAATTTTGCAGCGTGAGGGGTACCATAATGTCTACGACACTTGCGCGCCAAGATCGGGGTGCGGCCGTCACCCTCAAGGCCTTTGGCTGCTGCACCGCGCACTACAGCTGACCAGCTAAATCTTCATTAGACGAAATCATAGATCGGCGTAGGAATACTGACGCATTTGCTGGACGAATAACTTGCAATCCATACCTTTCCGCGAAGGCTTTGATTTCCGTGTAGACATAGGGTGACTCAGCGAACCCTCCGACCATGAAGATATACTGTGAAGAGCTGTCAGTAAACAAAAAATCATTGGGTAAGTAATTGGTCCAAGTCTTCTCACCTTGAGTTGAACATTTTTGCTGCGCTGCGCTTGCTGAATCTGCTCAAGTATGAGTTCGCATGCGCGATCAAGCGAAAAGCTGAACAGCTCTTTCATGTCCGTACTGTTCGAGTCAGATCATGAGTCATGAAGGTAGAGTATGCAATACTTACGCTGTGATCATGATCTCGCCGTCTTCAATGCCACGACTGCTATCATCCTGCACTGAGTTGAGGGGTGATGGTAGGCGCACGAAATTATCCTCTACACCTGAGAAGCCGTTCTTGGCTTCGGCGATAAAGTCCTGGACAAGTCTGCTAAGCTTCGACGAGAGCGAAGTACGGGGAAGATCACTGCTTGTAGTCCCAGCAATGAGAAAGAAGTCTTCTTTGCCGAGGCGACGCTCCAACCACTTCAAAAAATTGCGTTCCACGAAGCTGCCTCCACATTGAGAGCCACTGCCAACCGTCGCCTCTTGTAAGATGGTCGGCTGCAGTTTGGCGACACGGTAGGATATCAGGTCCACTGTGCCACCACCCATATCACAGACGATGAAACCGTCATCGACAGCGAACTGCTCGTCCTGAACACCACCACGTAACGAGTGGATAGTATAGATGGCGGCAGCTTCGGGCTCAGTAGTAAGCACAGTCCTCTTGAGCTGAGGTAGTCCCCTGTTGTTGAAGCCCGCTTTATCGAAAGCCAGTAGGGTAGCATCTTTGGCAGCATCTGACCAGACTGCTGGCACAGTGATGACTAGAGTAATAGGAAGGCTGCTCCACAGCTGTTTGCCATAGTGAATGTTGAGGTTGCTTATCAGGTGGGATTTGACATGCGCAAGGTAGTCTGCAACAATGTCGACAGGCCTCGTAGACAAGATAGACTCGTTGTTGATGGATAGTTCCCTGAGGATCCTATCGACTTCTCCAACCTTCGTATTGTCCAAGAGAAGCTTTGTCCACATGTGCCTCTGCACATTTGGAGCGATGAGAGCGCCCCATAGTTGGCGATCATGGACTGCAATCTCACTGGAAACCTTCTCGTGGGTGCTGATCTTGAAGCGCGAGGGCCAGTCCTTCACGACAGTGATTTCCTTGCCAACGACTCCGGTATCCGAGGTCTCGCAATATGCAACACCTGCGCGATAGTATCAGTGATGCTCTCATTGGCGAGTCTCGGACTAACTTACCCGTGAAGGTGGTGCCATAATCAACACCAATAATTAGGCGGTTACTCAGCATAATGGGTGTATCAGTCTCGCAGGTGGAGGTGGGTGATGGGAGGCGTAGTTGGAGGGAGCGAATAACTATGAACGCGCATTTCTCTTAGCGCGCAAACTGACATTTCCGCGCGGTGAAGGTGAAGACGACTTGATGAGAAGGTCGCCAATGCCGTCAGGCACTTCGCTACCACCACTTTCAACCACCCACAACTACAAATTGCTAGCCCGCCCGCTCGACCGAAAGTTAACTTCCTGTGTGATGAGAGACCAGAAAGCATCGGATAGGGTTAGTGATACGACACCGTGGCTCCCTACCTTGTATTGTATTAATGTCGCATTAGAACATTGCCCCAGCAGCCACCGCAATGGGGTCTCTTGCTACCGTGCCTCAGCTGTACATTCAGAAACGCATTGCAGACGACAGGAGACTCATAACTTCCAATTCGGACCCCAAGCGGGTCGACAACGGAATCTGTCCTGCAACAAGAGGATGCGGTATCGCTCAACAAAAGACACTAGGAATTGCAGACAAAGATTTGGAAAGGTTAGCAAGCACACTTGAGCCACGCGACCAAGAACTCAAAGCGATTACGTCCAAGTACGCAAAGTTGGAGAACGAATTTCCCGATTTGTTCGACGATTACAAGACTCAAAAAGAAACTGTTATACACCAGGAAAAGAAGCTTATCGAGCATGCAAAAAATCTCGCGAAATGTCAAAAACAGCTTTCAGCGCAAGAGAAGAACATTGTGCACAAGGAGGATAGAATTGCAGACCTGAAAATAGAGCTTGCAGAGCGGAAGCACTGTCTGGCGCGGCAAATTGAATCAGAAGAGTTCTTGTGGGGTACGTTGAACTGCATAATAAACCAGCAACTTACTCCTTACGCCCAAAAGCATGATCTTCTACCCTATCAGTGGACCCATACAAGCATACTCCAGGTCCTAGCACGCCTAGCGGAAGATGCAGATAGTATAGGCGGTTTGCAGGAGCGCGTGAAGTCTTTACAGGATGAAATGCTAGCGAAGGTTAGCAAAGTTCAAGCACGACCCGACGAACACTTCGCTGGAGACTTTCGACAGATCGTCTCACTCGTTAAGACCTTCAGTAGGACAGCTCAAGCCATCGAGCATGCGAATGCAGCGCAGCTTTTTCATATGGGCGCCCTTCTGCAAGATGTACCACATGCCTACTGGAGGGATCGAGCGGGGAAGAAGCTCCTCGTTGAGGCCTGGATCTGGTCTGTCTTGATAAACGCAATCTTCCGAACGCCTTTCGACGTATATGGATCTCAGGGTACGGCGCTGAGAGAAGTGTGGTCGAAGATGTACCTTGCAGAAGACGACAATTATTGGCCTATTCCTTCGACTCTCAGTGAGAAGTGGCGTTATACAACAGCAGAGAGCATGCTGGAGCAAGTTAGCCCAGCTGTCATGACCAAGGGTGATGCGGAAAATGCCCACAGGCCATTTGATCAGGAAGTTCTCAATCTACGAGGGTACCTTGTGGCCTTGATCATGGAGCAACTGGGCATCGCCGCTTCGACAGTTGTAGAGAAACAGCTCTGGAACATGCTGAACAAGTCATCGATGCTGGCGGTCGAGATGTCCCTTCAAAAGTACCGCCTCCAGGTTACTTTCCCCAATGTTGGCGCCGATTACAATGAGAACACTATGAAGTCACGACAAGGTTTCGAGGGTAACGATATGGAGTGTGGAAAAGTGGCATTCGTTGTCAATCCTGGTCTGACAAAATGGGGTGATACGCACGGAGACAATTTCAACTATCGTTATGATATTGTACCAGCCTTGGTCCAACTAGAGCCTGCGGCAAGAACGCATGAGATGGATACGAGTTTGATCTAGAGAGCAATCGGCTGTCCTAGTTCGAAGGGGTACGAAGTAGAGGGCTTTTCGTTGTCCTAGTTTCAATGATTGCAATCCATGCTGCGTTGGACCATGAGAAATATGGGAAGAAACCGGACTGCCTGGGAGAATTCTCAACACTCCAGATTGTGGCTTCAAGGAGCGGCGAGCTCAAATATGGATGGAAGAAATGCACCCATTACTGGTTGCCGATTATGATTTGCATGACAAAGGTGATACTTCATTTCAATTTGTGAAACATGTTGAATGTGGAAGATGAGTTGGTGATGGATGAGCCGACGAGGAGATTGAAGATCCAGACGGCAGTGAGTGAATGTTGGGCGTCATGTGCAGAGGCGTGCCGTTCCTTCCCGCCAACTACTTGTCCCGACCAGGCTTAGCGCGACGCGTGCCCATGTATTGTCGATACCTACGGCCATTACATATGACATTGACGGTTGACATACTCTCGACGGATTGCCTTTGCAACGACCGAGTTAGATGTTTCAATTCAGGCTTCATATTATTTATTCTGCTCATCCCTTCACCTCGACCACGCCATGAGCCCCATACTGTCCTAAATACCCCTCTTCAGACGCTAAACGCGTCTTTGCAAGCGCGTTATCCCTCTTCTTCTTCCACTTCCACGACATAGGCACACTGTAATTTCTATCCACCGTACTTCAGCAGCCATGTACCTACCACGGAATCTAATCGCGCATCTTTACCAAAATCTTATCAAACGAACACACGTTGCCGCACCGCCAGTTCTTATCCTCGTTGCCCTCGAACCAGACGCGCTTTGCGCCTGTCGCATCCTGACCGCGTTACTCAAGCGAGACTATATAGCCCACAAGATCCAGCCGATTTCCGGATATGGCGACCTATCACGTGCTGCAGAAGACCTTGTACGACCGATGCGGACGACAGAGGGCGGTAGTGGGGGTGTTGTTGTCTGTCTGGGCGTAGGTGGGATGATTGACATGGAAGAGATGTTGGGCCTGGATGTGGACGAGAATGGGCAGGGTGGGACTGGCGATGTGGAGGTGTGGATCATGGACGCGAGACGGCCGTGGAATCTGGCAAACGTCTTCGGTACCCCGATTAGCGAGGATCCCGCGACAGGAGAATTGGTACCGAGACAAGCGGGCGTGGACAAGGGCAAAGTGCTGCAGTCGTATCAGTCGTCAAGAGGAGGGATCATCGTCTTTGACGACGGCGATATCGAGGACGACCTCCAGGCAGAACGAGCCGCGTATTGTGCGCTCGAAGAAATGCCCGAGGTGGGAGAGGAGGATGACTTGGATGACGAGTCAGAAGAAGACGAAGAGCCGCCGTCTGGTCAGCAGCCAAAGAAACGCAAGTCATGGAGTGGTGACGAGGAATCAGAGGACGACATGACAGACAATGAGCGGCCAGCGCAGCGACGAAGAAGTAATTCAGTACGTTTTGGCATTTCACACACACCAAGTGAACCAACACTAACAACCTCCAGGGAGGCTCAATACCATCATCGCCACGAAGAGGACCCGCACGAGGGACATTATTAATAGCAAACCAACTTGGCCCGTCATCCGACTTTTCAAGGTCAGATTCTCGCAGCCGCTCAGCGTCGCCCTCGGTCGCTGCACCAAAGCAACCAAGTGTCAAGAGTCTGCGGCGACAGCTCATACAAAAACGAAACAAGTACACAAATGTGCTCGACAAGTACTATCAACTGGGGACCTCGTACTCGGACCCCGTCTCCTCGCTCGTTTACAATCTCGCTTCGGAACTGGGTCGAGAAGACAATGAGCTGTTGTGGAACGCCATTGTGGGGGTCAGCAGTCTAGAACTATACGGTCGAACAGGCAATGGAGTCGGTCTGAATCCTCTCTCTGCACAAGGCGGCTCAGCAGGCTGGAACGGCAATCGTGGCGAGCAAATTCGCTCCGTGCTACGAGACGAAGTCCGCCGCCTCAACCCCATTACGGATGCCACAGGCATGGCCCGCGAGGCAACCATGGGAGAAGCCTGGGGCGTGATTCCCACGAGCGCCCGCTCTGCCACAGACACTTCCATTCGCCTCTCTCCTGAACCACGTTTTCTTCTGCTCCGACACTGGTCTCTCTACGAAAGCATGCTGCACTCACCCTACCTCTCCGCCAAACTGCATATCTGGAGCGACGCGGGACAGAAGCGGCTTGCGAAGCTCCTCGCCAAAATGGGCGTCTCGCTCACCGAATGCAAACAACGCTACACACACATGGACATGGAACTCAAGCGCGGGCTACGAGAACGTCTGCTGAAATTCGCCCCGCAATATGGACTCGACGGCCTGGTGCCCCCTTCGTCCAGCACAGGCGACCACAAGGATGGATGGGGCTTCGTCCGCTGCTGGGGCTGGAAAGCCTGTCTCTCCGCCATTGACGCCAGCGTCATCCTCGGCGCCATCCTCGAAGTAGGAGACGTGAAAGCGCTCTCCTCTTCCTCCTATCCGCCCCCCGACTCCACAGCAGACTCCCAACCCGCCACGACAATAAGCCAGGACGAACAAGACGCAGCCCACGCCGCAATAACCCGCCGCTTCTGGACCGCCTACGACGCCCTCTCCTCCATCGACCTCCTCACCACCCATATCCCCACCGCCCAACACCTCCACCGCGCCATCCTCCGCACCGGCACCCAACTTATCGAGAAGCGCCAGATCCGCCACCTCCGCGCCTTCCGCATCGCCGTCGTCAAAGAAGGCCCAGACGTCCACCTCTTCACCCACCCGGGCGCCCTCACCAAACTCGCCCTCTGGATCGCCGAAGCCGTCGTCGAACTCAATGGGTCCAAGCCCGCAAACAAGGGCGCCGAACTCGTCATGGCCGGCCTCGACGACGCCCGCGGCTTATATGTCGTCGTCGGCCTCGGCGGCGGCGGCGCCTCCCTCAGCGTCAAACAGCGCCTCGCCCGTCGCCAGGCCAGACTGCAGAAGAAAGAAGCTGCCCGCGCTGCGCGCAACGCCGCCCGTCTCGCCCGGACAGAATCCAGACGGCGCCGCAACCTCGCCGCCGGCCTTGACGAAGACGAAGTCGAATCCGACACCGAAGAGGAAGACTCGGCCTCGGATTCCGACGCCTCCTCTGAAGCAGACTCGGACGACGACGATGATGGAGCACCCGGCCGACGCGGGACCCTGCGCCGTAATCGCTTCAATACTGCGTTTCAAGATGTTGTGCGGGAGACGGGGGCGCGTGTGCGTATGGATTCTTTTGAGGCGTGTGTGATTGAGGTGAAGAAGGAGGATTTGAGTGGGTTTTTGGAGCGTTTGAGTTTGAAGGCTGTGGTTGGGTAGGGGTGGGGAGATGAGAGAGACTGGGGGAAGTTGGGGGTTGGGGGTTGGAGACGAATGGATGATTTATGTGGAAGCGTGGAAGCGTGGAAGCATGGAAGCATGGACGATGGATGAGTGGGATATATTCTGCATAAGTGTATATAGATGGCTGAATGAAATTCATACCAAGTACATTTCTCAGCTCCATCCTCGTGCAAGAAATCACTTGCACATTTATAATCACATTCATAACTACTATCGTGATTGAAATAACAATTGTCATCCCAACTCATCCCTACCTTTTCCTCGATACCCAACACACCCATACAAAACAATACACAACACCACACCACACACCAACCACCCCACCTGCTAATCACTGCAAGACTATCGGCAAACCCAATTCTCTACTGCAGAAATACTAGGGATAGGTGATGATTAAATTTAATATTGGAATAAGATGGGCATGAGATGGGCATGGAATTAGTCGATATTACATTCATAACCTCCATCCTACGTGACCTCCATCCTACATGACCTCTATATGTACAGTTTACAATCAGCTTCAAGATAATCTACATTTTTAAAAAAAAGTAGGCTTTGCATAGTTAGTCAGTCAGTCCGTCAATCCGTCAGTTAGTTAGTCGTCTTTTGGTGACGGCATTCCACCCCATCCTCCATCTCCATATCTAACACATAGCCTCCATTATCCATTATCCATCATCTCGGGAGAAAACTCAAACATGTACGCACGCACAGACAATGAAATGTCAAAAAAAAAGAGTAGCAGTGGTATCAATCAATATTAATCTCAACATCAATATCAACGTCCTTTGCACTCCACTCCACTTCAAAAAATAACCCCCCCACCTACCGCTTCTTCCTCGCCATCTCGACACCCTCGCGCTCCTCCTCACTCTCGCTCGCCAGCCCGCCGTCACCCCATCCTGCATCCCCACCCCCACTGGCCCGATTCCGTCGACGATCACTCACCCCGTCCGTCAACCGCCTCTTGACCTCCCCGAGCGTCTTGTCGACGGTGCTAAACGGCTTGAGCTGGAAACCACCACCGGCGCCGCCACCGGCACCCATCAGATTGGCATAGCTAGCGTTGCGACTGCGACTCTTCCTTGGTGTCTGCGGTCGGCTGCTAAAAATGTCCTGGTTGGCGAGGTCGTGGAAGGATTCGTTGCGGGGAATGTCGTTTGCCGAGCCCGGAGAGGCGGGATACGTGTAGCGTTCGTGCGTCTCGGCTTCGTCGTGCTCACGCGCATCTGCCGTGGATTTACGGGCTGTTTGGGTGGCGTGTTGGTCGTGCGTAAAAGGGTCCTGGAGGATGCGTTTCGAGTCGAAGTCGTCGTACATTTCCGGGCCAAGCTCCGAGATGATCTCGTTGACGCGGCGGGCTAGTTCTTTGCGACGTTCTTGGAGCTTGACGAGCTCGCTACTCGAGAAGGGGTTCATCATCTTCCAGAGCGGGCCGAGCGATTTCAAAATGTCCATTGCGACTTCGCCGAAACGCAGGGCGCCATAGGTGACGGTGACGTAGACGATGAGTTGGCCTGGGATGAGGATGCGCTTGGGAATGCCAGGAGGCAGATAGCCACTGCAATTGCTGCGCGAGTACCAGAGCAGGCCCAGGCAAACATACCAGGCATATGCGGCCGGGGCAACGGCCATGGCGACAAGGAGTTTCCAAGTCGCCATGACATCGCGCGCTTGGATCTTGACATTCGAGGCGGCCAATGCTTCCTTGGCCTTTTTAATCGAGTAAATCTTAGTTGCAATGAAGACGAGACTGAAGAGGAGGGTGCCGGGTAGCACGAGGATACTCAGGAAAAGTAGCTTTCCCAGGCGATAGAAGAAGAGACCCGCTGCTGCAATTGGATGCATCTTCGCGTAATCCACTTGATGATCTCGCAATCCAAGGGCCTTGAGCTTCGCGTTGTAGGCGATGACCTCTTTCTTAAGCTCGATAATACGAGGGTCGTCCTTGTACCGTTCATAGCCACGCACCAAACGTCGATTGAGTTCCACGATCCTAGGCAATGGTATTTTCGAGCCCTTGGTGTTGTATAGGCGGCGAACAGCTTGAATGACCTAGCGCACGTGTCAGAGAGAATGTTGTGATCCAGCCAAACTCCACTTACCATGAGTGTGTCGTAGTCTGGAGTGGTGACAGTCACCGAGAGAAGGCCTTGCTTGATAATTTCGAGCATCTCGCTGATGGCAGCTCGACGCCCTTCCTTGGTCTCGAACTGCTCCGCAAGCTTCATTGGGACTTCGATTGGGGTGCCAAACTCAATCACAGCCCTTGATCGAAACTTGTGCGCGTGAAAGTAGTTCATGCCCACGGGTATCACCTGGACTTTGCAGTCGGGTTTCGAGGCCAACGTGCCCAGTGCCATGATGGCAACACCCGCTGAGTAGTGTGAGTATCGAGCAAGGATTTGGGGTTGAGCGAGAACGTACCCTTGAGAGGCAAAAGATCTGTGCGGTCATGACTTCCCCCTTCCGGGAAGATACCTACGCTTCCACCATTATGTAAGACTGCATGCACAGCGTCGTAGACTTCGGTCTGGTTCAGCTTGGGCGCAATGCCAAAGTTGGTGCCCTCATAGCCCTCGGCAATGCCCTTCTTCTCCGCAGCTCCATCTACAAAGACTCCATCCTCAGTCATGTCGTTGCGACCGGTCAATTGCTGCATAGCGACACCTCCATTGAAGGGGCGCTTGAGTCTAATCTCCTCGGGGCCGATGATTTCCAAAATCTCTGCAGTCGCCGCCTTGTTGTCCACTTTGGGTAGCACAATAGATCCGCCAATCTGGAACTGCTCGTCTTCAAAGTTGGTGCCGACACCGCGGAGGAGGCAGGGGTCGTTGATGGGGTCGGGGAGGTATATTTTGCCCTGTGCCGGCTTCGTCATGTCCATGGCTCTTCCCACCGGCACCACGCCCGTCAGGGATGCCATTGTGCCGACGAACTTGCGCTTCATCGACTTCTCTGCGATGAGGAACTGTATCCGCCGATCGGATTCCTTCTTGACGACACGCATCAACATAAGAGGGTCGACGAACTGTGGGCTGTCAGTGGCGGTCATGCCTATCTGCCTCTGCGTCCTACCTGGTTCGCATGGGGTGCGCAGACAAATATGACCGGCCCCTCCTTGGGCACCTTCCAACTACTGCGTGGGTGGACCTCGCGGAAGAAGAGCTCGACCAGTATGGAAAACGTCCACAAGAAGGCGTCGTAGACGTATTTGTTCATGACGACCACCTTCTTGCCCTTGGCATCCACCTGATTCGCCATGCTGACTGTCTGGCCTGCAGCGAGGCTGCTCTCTGGTGGAGGAGAGCTGAGCAGAGGGGTGCTGCTCTATAATCGCGCAATTTCGAGGAAAGCGACAGTCTGTCTTGTAGAGATAGTATTGCGACGTGGGCCAGTTGTTGACTATGGAGGGCTGAAGCGGGTACAGCTAGCGATCGAGAGCTCGTTGTGTAAAGAATGGAAGCGGGCGACGAGTGAGTTTGTTGACAGTGGGGACGGGCAGAGGGGTGCAGGTTGCTGGGTCATATAGGTAGACCTAGACAGTCAGCCATCACGACGTCTGTTCCTTCCGTCCTGCTGTATGCATACCTGGTGTACCTGCGATTTATTGTAGGAGGCGTGGGTGCCCTGTTGAATCTCCTCTTGCCAGTTGTCCTGTGTGTCGCGTGTATGCTCCAGGAACTGAAGCTGTAGCATCAGGCCATGACATGGAATCTTGTAGAAGTCTGAGATGAGACGCTTGCAAGGCCGGCTCTTTGGATACGTTAGAGAGCCGAAATCCGGGGGACGATGGACAGTGGACAGTGGACAGTGGACAGTGGACAGTGGACAGTGGCTGTGGATCTGTTTTCATCAGCTGTCCGCATCAACCACAGACACCCAATCGTAGAGTAGAGCGATTATTTTCTGTTGTTGAGCTCGGATAGATTCCAAGGCTTTGCATGGCGGGCCTTCGATGTCATTGCAGCTTAGTTCCAAGGTTGTTGGGTTGGCAGCTGGTGGGGTCACCGCTAACCCCAACATGGAGATATTCACTACTATCCCATCCTCCCGAGCCAGCCATGGCATTAGCCATTCAAAATGGGAATATGTATTTTTATTCTCCTACGGCCTAGCTAGTTACCAACAAACAATATCCCATCAAACGTGCAGCAACAATCACCAGAACCCCATTGGATTACATAGGTACATAATGCCTAATCCACTAACATTCAATTCTACCTAGTAGGCGTACCGGTAGTGCTGTTAACAGCTGGTGGTGCAACTGGGTTCGAGGCCGACGGGACGAGGATAGGTGTTGCTGGAGGAGAGACGGGCGGTGCAGCTGGCACAGTACCGTAACCGACAAGCTGCCATTGGTAGCTGGTGGCGCAGAGGGGGCCACAGCTGTTGACACCGACGAGGCCAAAGGTGAAGAGGCCGAGGAAACCAGAGTAGAGGGGGCTGGCGTCACGTAGACAGTCGTAGTTACACTGGCTAGGCAAGACGAGGACGGCCTCACGTAGACCGTCGTGGTTACGCTGGGTTTGCAAGAGCCAGACGAAGAAGAGCACGTGCTCTCTGTTGGCCTGCTATTGTTGAACTCTCCAGCTGTCTGGTTGGTTGGTGCAAAAGTGGCCAAGGGGGACAAGGGGGTGCTTGAAGTCTTGACGACAATAGGTGCCGCCTCTGGCTTCTGCGAAGACAAAGAGGGAACTACCACAGCGGGTGGGGTACGGTAGGCTGGGTAGCTTGGCTCGACTTGGGAGTGGAGTACGGGATATAAACTTTACGTGTTAGATACTTTATATCTATATATTAGCTTATAAATAGTATCAAGTTACTATAGTATCCGATACTTTCTAGGAATCTAGCCTAAATAAACAAGCCTATTAGTTTAATAGTACCTGCTAAAGCTTCCCCCCTGTGAGGATCTGAGTGGCTACGATATAAAGCAGCTGGTGTCAGACCGCAAGGTTGGTTCTTACGGATAGGCAAGAGATAAATAAGAACGTCTGTGGATAACCAAGTGTATTGCTATACGTATTATTTAAGTTAAACACGATCTACTATAAGGGCATCTTGTGGTTCCTATATACTTGTCGTCCTAGACGTCCCTAGGGCCTGTGGGATCTGTGGGACTTTGGGACTCGTCCCAGAAGTCCTAGACGCGAGATGTGCTCTTGACACTTTGGGATTCGTGGGACTTACCTACGTGACTTACGTGACTTGCTGGGCGCGGGGTCATGTTGGATGCCCGTTCTGACTGGTGCTCGTTCCTCGCAACTTCAGTCGCTGTCTGTCTTCAAATACGTAGGTCGCAACACCCCCTTACTATAATAATAGCCATCCCTATAACCTCTCCTGTAAACTACCTAACTATAACTACTATAAGCTCTTCTCCTAGCCTACTACTACCCTATAATACTATCTTCCTAACCCTTTAGCGCTAGGGTTACGGAGTAGGCGAAGAGGTGGGAGGAGCAGGAACGGGTGAAGAGGTTGGTGCAGAGTTAGATCAGGCCACTGCAGAAGGCGAAGGCTTGGGAGACTTTGGAGCCGGCTTCTCGCTCTTCTTGACAGGAAGAGTGTTCTTCTCAATCGTGAGCAGCGCCTGCGTGACCTCGAGCGCCGACAATTGCTGTCCCACACCAGAAGCTCCGTCCCAGCCACCAGTGTACCACTTGGACCCGCAGGTAGCGCCATCAGCACCACCGGAGCACGACTTTGCGGCGCCAACAGCAGAAGCCTTCAAGTACTTGGTAATCTTGTCCTTGGTAAAGGGCGCAATGATGGCCGTCTTGGCAATGAAGCGGGATAGGTAGGCCTTGAAAGACTGCTGGTCCAAATTGCAGTGCCTCCCCGAGACGCCAGTCTCGCAGGTCCATTCGTACATGATGTCCGTAGCGTTCTCGTAAGGGGTGAAGAAGAGCTTCTCGGCGTGCTGCAAGAATCCAGAGGTTCGGTCCTGCCAGACACGGTCGCCGCTGGTGAAGTCGTACATGTAGGCAGAGCCGTGGAGGTACATGGCATTGTTGTAGGTCCACTGCGTCTTGTCGTTGATGGTAGTGCAGTTCTCCTTGTCGCTCGTCCCGTCAAAGACCTCAAAACTGTCGGAGATGAGGCCAACGTTCTGGCTCCAGTCGTAGATCTTGACAGCCCAGTCTGCGTACTTTTGTTCACCCGTGTAGCGGGCGAGACGTGCACCGAGGGCAAAGGCACAGCCGTTGCTAATGGAGTTCTTGTAGTTGTACCCATATGCGTTTTCAGGGTAGACCTGCCACTTCAGTCCTCCGCCACACGAAGTCTCGTCCCAGCGACCGACAATGTTCTCAAAGGCATTGACGGCGACCTCCAGATAGTCTGCTGGTGCATTCTCTGGTTCTGGGAACTGGTACTCGAGAGCCGACATGACGGCGAGGGCCCAGAAGGCTTGATCATCGTTGCCCTGGATTGAGGGGTCAGTACGTTTGTGTGGACGGGAAGGAGGGTGTTGGTGTTGCAGCATGACTTACGGTCTCACCCTTGCGATAGGACAAGATGAAGTCGTTGGCAGGGCCGTAGTTGGCAGTCAAAGCTTGCTGGAGTGTCTTGACATGGGCGTCATCGCCAGTGAACTGACTGTACTCTATCATGCCGCCCCAGGCAGCCCCACCTTCCCACCAGTAGTGAGGCTTGGGCCAGACGCCGACATTCTCAATCGCCGTACCCGGGGCATCACCCTCGTACAAGGACATCAAGCCATTCGCATACTGCTTGGCCGCATTACGAATAGAATCCTCATTTTCGGTGTCTAGTTGGAGTCCAGTAGCCGTGGCCGCAAGAAAAGCAAGGAGCACAGCTCCGGCAGTAGCAGTAGTAGTGGTAGTAGTAGTGGAAGAAGAAGAGAACACCTTCATGGTGGCAGTGTTGTTTAAGGAATGAAGCGAATGTGAGGGTCGTGAAATGCAGCAGGTGAAGGAAGAGAAGACGCAGGGGGTGAAGAAGAGAAGCAAAAAGAAAAGGTAAAGAGTGAAGTTTAGAACCTGCGCGGTGGATGGCAAACTCACTACCTAGACAAACAGCAAAGAGAGGAAAGAAGGTGTAAGGAACAGAGAAATCCTGATGAATTTAGGTTCTTAGCTAGAGTAGGCCATGATCTCTTACCGGTAACCCAGTCTGACTCCGTGAAGGCCCCGACCCATCTCCATGCCCATCCTCCAATCCTCCAATCCCTCATGATCCATGAAGCCAGGATGGTTGTGTTGGAGCCGCATAGAGCCGGGAAACTCCTCGCCACAATGGACTAATTGTCCTCGCCCTCACTACTAAGTTAGGGATAGTGCCAGGTACCTTGGCGGCCTGGAAAATTAGTAGCCAACTGTCAGGCCATGACGTGCGCGTGCATGGAAGGACTGTGGGGTGGGCGCCCATATATACTATTCTATTCGTGAATAATCCATTCATGGATTATACGCACCTTTTTGGTTGTTTGGCGCAGTGGGAATAGACACTGTGTCCTAACAAGGCGTTACTAGAGGAACTAGATATTAGAAAGTATTAGTAATAGTAAGTAATTATAATTTTTTTTTAGTGTTAAGCTTTAGATTTAGTGTTCCTTGCTAAGCTTGCCCCTAAGCTAGGCCTAATTAGAGAGGCGCTAGCTATATCCAGGCAAAGCCTTACCAATGCGTAGATTTTAGTGCTAATAAACAATACCAATTGTTTTTAGTATTACTGTATTAGTATTAACCCCTATACCCTAGCAAGTGTTATTCGTCTAGGTTGTAATAAGAAAAGTGTCTTAGTTATAAGCCTTACCTTACCTAAAATAGTTAACATCCTATAGCTAGTGAATTAGTACTACAGGGGAAGCCGCTAGGTAGCCTGCGACCAGTATTAATAGTATTAGTGTATGGTTGTTATTGTAGGAGGGATATTAACTAGATTACAGAGCATCTTAATCCAATTAATCCTAATTAATACCCCTATATAACCTACTATCTAATTAACTGCTAGCTTACTACTAAGTGCCTAATAAAAAGTAGGAGCTCTAGTAAGGAAGGTTTACTAATTATTTACCTTCTAGTAAGGGTAGCTAAAGCTCTATATATATAAGTACAATTGTAGTAGATATAATCTAATAATCTATCTCCTAAATTATTCCTAACCTTAGTAATCTAAATTTCTATAGTTATAAGCCTAGTTTGCGCTTTACCTTATTAAAGATTGTCCTATCTATTTAAGCGTATTATTTAACTTAGATACTAAGCTAGTAAGCTTTACTCTTTCTTTATACTATTTCTTAAGTAGAAGCTTACTTATTACTCTTCTACTATAAGCAACTAAATCCTAAAGGGGGATATCCTACTTACTAGATTAACTAACTAGCCTACCTAGTATATATAATTTAGATACTATGCCCTAACTAAAGGGATCTAGGTAGAGGTAGACCCTAAAGCTTAGGATACTAAAAACTACTTTAAGAATAAACCTATTAAGCCTAATATACTAATAGATATTACGCTATCTAATATAACAAGCAAGCAGTATAAACTTAAAATAGCTTAGTACTAAGCCTACTTATTAGATTAGGTATTAAAGTTATTAGTAATCTAGAACCTTTTTATATAGGTTAATAGATATAGTAGATTATAAGATGGATCCCTTAGCCACCTAGCCTATATAGAGCTTGTTAATTAAGGAAGAGTAACCCTCTAAGCACTTATCTAAGTGCTCTGTAATAACCTAGCGCTAACTAATTTAAGCGCTATAATACTAGCAAGATTATAGTATAAAGCTTATCTTACTAATATAAAGATAAGTAGCTAAGACGCTAATTACTAGTAGAAGGAGTAGATAATCCTATATATATAAGCTAAGGTATATAACATTCCTAATATTAAAGGATAGCTTATAGTATAGGATTATCTTAAAGCTCTATCTACTAGGATCTTACTAGATTAAGGTTAAACTATATTTTAAAGGATTATTAAAAAGTTAGTAATAGGAGAGCTAACTTATAACCTCCTATAGGTTACTAAGATCTATTTATTACTTCTCTAAGAGAACAATATAAGATTAAGCTCTAAAGGTCCTAGAGTGTTTGCAATAATAGGAGCTCCTCCTTCTAATTAACCTAAGAAGGAGTCTTTATACCTATATAGTAGATCCTACCTATAGAAACCTCCTAAATATAAAAATATTATTAAAGCTTAGACTAATATAGGTAATAAGCTTACTACTACTTAATAATTAGAGATTAAGAAAAAGATTAATAGGAATAAAAAATTTAAAGAGTTAAGAAAAGCTCTAATTAAGTCCTATCCTATTAATTAAGATTATAGTAGTAAGGCAAGCGCGATCACCTATCTAGGCAGTATCTAGGTAGCACTAATTAACCCTATGTTAATAGCAGAGAAAACAAATAGGATCTATTTAACTATAGACTTTAAAGCTTACGCTCTATTAAAGAGCACTATCTTTAATAATAGGGGTGTAGTACACCTAGTTAATAATATAAGCTACCTAGAAGAAAGCTTATTTAGATTAGTTAAATATAAGATAGTTAAAGCAGGAACTTAAGCTTTTCTAATCTTAGGCAGAGGGACTAGAGTAATCCCTAATACTCTTAATAGACTAAGAGGTCTAAAAATAGAAGATTTAGTGCTTACTAATATAGTATTAGTAGAAGGTTTTTATATAAATATTATATTAGAAGCTTAATTACTTAAAGTAGGAGTTTAGTTCCTTAGGCTAGATACTACCTTGCAGTTTAGATTATTAGGAAAGAGCGTTGTATTAGCTAAGTTACTGCACAAGTTTAACTTAACTTTCCTAGAATATAAGCCCTCTACCCCTTATTAAATAATCTAAAGCATAGTGCCTAAATAACCCTAATAATCCTAGATAACTTACCTAAGACACGATAGTAAGGAGCTTTAGCACTAATAATTAGGCTATTTAGGACCTAAGGCGCTTAAAGCTCTATTTAAGTTAGTAATAAATATTAGGATTAAAGGAACTCCTAGGAGCAAATATAAGCACTACGCTATTACACATGCCTAATAGGTTATATTAAGATAACTAAGGGAAAGATTACTATATCTATACTACTAGGTATTATAGGATCTATTTAATATACTAATAGGTATAGCTTATAAGTAATAGATCTTAGTATTAAAGTGTAACTACTTAGGAAAGCTTTATACCTATCTACTATAAGCTAAAAACCTTAATAAGATTATATAGGTGTTTAAAAATTTTAAGAGCTTAATACTTAACTAATATAAGCTTAGTATAGTTAAGATTATATAAGATAATAATATTATAACACTCCCTTAGCGTGGCAAATCTTGTTTTTAGATCTAGTTAGCGAATAATAGTATTAAAATTAAGAGCTTACCTATATATACCTATAAACCTAATAGAGGAGTAGAAAGAGTAGGGTAGGAGATTATAACAAAATTAATTAAAATAAGGATTAGTGCTAACCTACTAATAAAGCTCTAGCCTAAAATTATTAAAGCAGCAACTTAGCTCTATAATATAAGCCTGTCCTATGCTTATAATATAATATTACCTAACAAAGTGCTAGATTGTTAGTTTACTAGATACTTTAGGTGGTGGCAACTAGAGTAGATAAGGGAGGTAACTACTAATCTCTACCCTAATTAGAGTAGAATATACGCCTATAGCTGTTAAGCTTACCCCCTTAATAGAGATTAAGTAGCTAGGCGTTACAAGAGGGTTTTTAAGGTGAACCCTTAGGGTTATATTAGATATCTAGTAGGATATAGAGTATCTAACATATATAGGATATAGATCCCCTTACTTAATTAGATTATTATAATATAGAATATTACCTTTAATAAGGATCTTTTCTATAAAGAGAAAGATCTAGAGTAGCTTTAATAGTTAGAGGCTTAAAATGTGAAGGGCTTGGGCTTATGCCTAAGCCTAGGTCTAACACAAGACAGACCAAGTCTAACACCACTACTAAGCGAACACACTAGATACCTATAAAAAGGCGTGGAGGGCTTACCTCTCCTTTAAGATACTAAATACTATTATTAACGCTTATTGTATTCTCCCTTAAGGCTAGTCTATAATATTTTAGTATCTTCTTCTAAATATACTATAATAGTAATAAGAGATAGACGCGCTAGATATTTAGAATAACTAGGTGCAACCTAATATAGTAGAAAGGCTAATATAATAGGTCTATAGATTAATAGAATAATAGGCTTAAGACTCTGCTATAATAGCTATACTACGTTAATAGAATAAGGAAATACGTAATTAGATTCTATCCTAACCCTCCTCTAAGCCCGCTAGGTTTAATAATATACTGCCTCTGCCCTCCCCTACCTTACGCTGCAAACCTTTCCTAGTTAGCTTGCTATATAATAGCACTAAGGCAAACTTCTCCTCCTAGTAAATAACTATAGAGTTTAAACTGCGTGCAGATAAGGTCTTTATTAGGGATAAGGAGGCAAGGTTTATATATATTTAGTCCTAGTTATTACCTATAGTCTAGCGCGCTATAGTACTATACTTTAAGGATAGTGCACGCAAATATTAGGATATAAGTAGGTTTCTTAACTACCTAGTATTCTATTATAGTAACTATTATAGGCAGGAGCGCACCTAAGTTATATTAGAACACTTATATTAGGGCTAAAATTAGCCTTTTATAGAGTTCTTTATAAATTTTGTATAGCTCCTTATATAGTTAGGAGGTTTATACTAGGATAATAAATAGAAGCTTTTATAACTTTAGTAATCTCTTAATAGTTATATACGCTTAGTTTCCCTTAATAGGGGAGTCTCTAGGATAAACTATAATATAGCTATAGAGGAATATAAGATAATTATAGTAGATATTAAAATAGCCTCTCTAGAACTAGGCTTTCTTTAG